CTAATCGAGAGGTTCAGGGTGGGTCATATACAGAATAACAGATACCCAGGAGTGAGTTACAGACTGGAATCTAATTGAGGGGCTCAGGGTGGGTTATATACAGAATAACAGATACCCGGGACGGAGTTACAGACTGGAATCTAATCGAGGGGTTCAGGGTGGGTTACATACAGAATAACAGATACCCGGGACGGAGTTACAGACTGGAATCTAATCGAGGGGTTCAGGGTGGGTTATATACAGAATAACAGATACCTGGGAGGGAGTTACAGGCTGGAATCTAATCGAGGGGTTCAGGGTGGGTCATATACAGAATAACAGATACCCGGGAGGGAGTTACAGACTGGAATCTAATCGAGGGGTTCAGGGTGGGTTATATACAGAATAACACACCCAGGAGTCAACTGGAGACCAATTGAGAAATTTGGGTTTTTGAATAATCGATTTTTTGTGGGGCTGGGTGTGGATGAACTTTTGAACACCTCACTTCACAACCCCTGCTTGTTGTCTTACAGTGTTTGAATTGTCACCTCCTCACCAACTGCTGAATAGGTCACCGCACTTTCATCGCCATGTCCCTCTGGTCTGAGGGGTTGGTATTCAGCTTCTTTTGGTCGTTCCTTCAGGCTGGTGTATGCAGGATCTTCTTGTGTTTCTGCCTGGGTCGAACCCGGCTCAGCCTTGGCCTGTTCCCTCAGGCTTTGGCGCGGCTCAGCCTTGGCCTGTTCCCTCAGGCTTTGGTGCGGCTCAGCCTTGGCCTGTTCCCTCAGGCTTCGTCGAGGCCTTACCTCAGCCTCCACCCTCACTTCTGAGGAGCCACTTGGTCCAGCCTGTACCCCTTGGCCTGAGGCCCCAGGCTGGGCCTGGTCACCTTTAGATGTCACCTCCTTCAAATCGGAGTAAATCGCATCTTCCCCTGCGAAGATCGACCGGACAAGAGGGTGAAGGGAGAGTTACGAAGAATAAGAAGAGGCAGCTGAAGTTAAGTTTGTGATCAATATCTCTTCGACGTCGCCTCTGCTCTCCTGCCCCGGTCTCCATCACCTTAAAGGCCCCAAATCCTATCTGGCTTTGTTTTGAATCATTTATAATTATACAGTCACAAGGATATACAGCTTGGAAACAGACCCTTCGGCCCAACCAGTCCCTGCCGACCCGATATCCTAAATTAATCTGGTCCCATTTGCCAGCCTTTGGCCCATGTCCCTCTAAACCCTTCCTATTCATGTCCCCATCCAGACGCCTTTTAAATGTTGTAATTGTACCAGCCTCCACCACTTCCTCTGGCAGCTCATTCCATACACACACCACCCTCTGCGTGAAAAGGTTGCCCCTTAGGTCCCTTTTAAATCTTTCCCCTCTCACCTTAAACCTAATCCCCTCTAGTTTTGGGCTCCCCTACCCTGGGGAACAGACCTTGTCTATTTACCCTATCCATGCCCCTCATGATTTTATAAACCTCTATAAGGTCACCCCTCAGCCTCTGACGCTCCAGGGAAAATAGCCCCAGCTTATTCACCCTCTCCCTGTAGCTCAAACCCTCCAAACCCTGACAACATCCTTGTAAATCTTTTCTGAACCCTTTCAAGTTTCACAACATCCTTCCTATAGCAGGGAGACCGGAATTACACACAGTATTCCAAAAGTGGCCCTAACCAATGTCCTGTACAGCCCCAACATGACCCTCCCAAGTCCTACACTCAATGCACTGACCAATAAAGGCCAGTGTCCCAAACACATCCTTCACTATCCTGTCTACATATGAAATGGTCAGAAATCACACGACATCAGGTTAGAGTCCAACAGGATTATTAGAAAGCACAAGGTTTGTGCCTGATGCCACCTCTCTCCCTAACACCTGACGAAGGAGCAGCGCTCAGAAAGCTTGTGTTTTCAAACAAACTTGTTGGACTGTAACCTGGTGCCACATGACTTGTCCCCCCACTAGTCCAACCCTGGCACCTCCACCTCATGGCTCCCTGCGAGAATGTAGTGTTTGACTGGGAGCGCATTTTATTCCTCACTGACGAGCCCACTCCACTCCTCCACGTCGTTCTCATTCCCATCCCATTGTGAACCTGCTCAAAACCGTTCTCTCCATCTCTAAAGAGAGAAGAACAGGCCTCACCAAAGCCCTGACCAAACGTAACGTGTCTTCCTCCCTCCTACTGCCTCAATCAGCGAATAGTCACTCGGAAAACGATGGCGGCTGGTGGGAACTGTTTTAACCAATTGCAAGGAGAGGCCTGTTAATGTTCACAAGGCTTTTTCAATGTAGAATGAGACAGGGCCCAGTTAACACAGGGAGGTTAACTGCTACCTGGCCATCTCCAAGGCTGGGAAACCTTAAACCCCCCCAACCTCCTACCCCCAGAGAACCTCCAACAGAGTAAACAAACCCTCTCAGGGCTGACGTTGTTCCCAAATAACAGAGTTTCGGGTAAAACGCAGACCACAGCTCCCTCTACTGTTATAATTGGAAGGTAAAACACTCTCTACACTGTTCCCC